GGGGGAAAGACATAATAAAATTTAGCAAAATGAAGTGAATCAAACTTGGGAACATAAGAGCTAGTAAAAATATGTCAGAAACTTTTTTTTTTTGGTTTTTTTTTTTTTTTTTTTTTTTTGCTCCGAATGCCCTCAGGGGTGGTTTGGCAGGCTGGAGTGTTGTGGGGATCGAACCACAGCAACCTGAGCCTGAGGGCTTTGTGGAAGCAGCCACTTAATCAACTGAGCTAAGGCCAGGCCCCAGAAACTTTAAATGAATGTAACATGGTTCAAATTAAATATGAACACTACTGCAGAGAAAAAAGGGGCCTGCCCCTTAGCTCAGTTCTTTAAGTGGCTGCTTCCACAAAGCCCTGAGGCTCAGGTTGCTGTGGTTCGATCCCCACAACTCAAGCCAGCCAAACCTGCGCTGAAGGCATTCGGAGCAAAAAAAAAAAAAAAAAAATCCTTCTGCTATTTGTATGCAATGTGTTAATTATTGAAACTGTCCTACCAATTTGGTTTGAAACTGTCTCATTACTATTTGTTTCTCAATAAAATTATGGAAAAAAAAGTCAAATATATTAAATTCATCTTTCATTGGAGGACCCAAATACAGGCTAATTCAAACAAACAAAATGCCACTCTTTCTAGTTTCCCTTGACTATTTCAAGGAGGAATCTTTGACACTATTGGGAAAAATAAACTCATGTCAAACATTTCAGTTCCTATTTTCTTAAATGCAGATGAAATTAACTTACTTTATTTCTCACATATACCATAAGAGCCCACTTGTATACAACTTCTTGTGAAACAGAGGGGGTCACACATACTGTAATTCTATTACCCTGGGAGGCTGAGGCAGGCGGATCAAGAGTTCAGCCTGGGCAACTTGGTAAGACCTTGTCTCACAATTTTAAAAGGGCTTGGGGATTTACTCTGGAAAGGCCCTCTCTGTTCAATCCCAGTATGTACCCACTCTGCACATTGTGTGTGTGTGTGTGTGTGTGTGTGTGTGTGTGTGTCTATGTTTATATCCTGAATGGCACTTCTGAGAAGCTTTTAAGTGAGTCTGATTATGTTGTACTTATACAACATCTTTTGTTCAACAACAATTTTTTAAATTGTTTTATTTATTTGGTACAGGGTCTCAATATGCAGTTCAGACTCACAGTAATCCTCCTGGCTTAGCCTCCCTAGTACTGGAATTAAAGGCATGTGCCACCATGCCCTTAGACCTCACAGCTATCTTCTCAGCCCCAGTATTTTTTTTTTTTTAAAACAAGGAAAAGTTACTTAGAAATTTCAACCTTTTAAAAAGCATACTGGGGCTGGAGAGATGGCTCAGTGGTCTAAAGCACCTACTTGAAACAAGCTTGGCAAAACACAGGGACCGTGGTTCGATCCCCAGCACCACATGCCAGCCAGACCCGCCCCCTGGTGGGCTGAGCTGGCCACACACACACACACACAATAAATAAATGTAATAAATAAAAATAAATAAATATTAAAAA